TTTGGTGCCTCCACGCAGTCGTGTTGTTCCGTCGCCCGTGTATCGCGCTCTCCTGGTAAGATTTAATCGACCGCGTTACGACGCTATGGAGCAATCGCGGTGTGGTAATGGTATTTATGGTATTGTGCTCGCGTAGTGCATCTGCGTTGCCCGTGTTATCGTGCTCTACATGGGCTTCGTGCTCCACGGTGTGCAATCGTGGTCACCCCAAGCACCCCCGTGATTTTCGTGGCTGGTCTGCCGTCCGTGCAATCGAGTTTTAATGTGCTACTGTCCTCCGTGGCTCGGGGAGCTGAGCTTCTACGCTGGTATCGTGCTCCGTGGCTCAAAGATCTCCCGTCTATAGCTCCTGTGGCTGTGCTCCCCTATGGCTTAGTGGCACAGTCCATGCTATCGTGCTAGCTTGCGATGTTGCGGTTGGTCTGTCGTCCGTGAGATCGTTAGCTACCGTAGTGTCGTGCTGTCGGACTCGGTGAGCTCCGATTCTACCCTAATATCGGGCTCCAATGCTCGGATGATCTTCCGTTTATGGTACATCGCGTTTTCACGTTTGGTCGGTCGACTGTGCTCCGTGTTGTACCGTGGTGCTATGGGAGAATTACTGTCCGTGCACTCTTACCGCTACGTGCTCTACAGTGGCTTCGAAGTTGCGTGCTCTTCCGTAGCCGTGCATTTCAGCATGCTGGGGTGTCTATGTATTTAGTTCCCTTCCGTGGCCCGTACGCTCCCGTCATATTCTCGTTCTTCTGTTCTTTCCATGGCTGCGTGCACTTCCATCTTTCACGCTACGTAAAACACTTCGTGGTTTGCATCGGCTAAATCTTCTATCATCGTCCATGACGTTCCGTGCTTCGTGTTGCTCTTCTATCCCATCGTTTTTCGTGTTCTTGCTGAGTCGCGTGCCTCCGCGCAAACTTGATCACAAACGCTGTTCCGATTTTGTTTGATGTACACAACATATATTGTTGGAAAGATCACACAATATCTTAAGGTCGTGTGCAAATACAGAGGAAGATGATACTTTTCCCGAGGGCAGTGTGGGGTGCAGGGGGGTGTCGGGTGGGAAGTCATAATAGTCATATGTTAAAATTTTCACATCCTAAAGTATCAATTATTAATAGTAGTAGTAGAGGTGTGATTTATTATAAACGTTAACATAATAATTATGTGGACTACTACTACAAATAACTGCAAGCAAAAATATGAAATGTCTTAAGAATAGTACTACGCAAAACAGTACTGTAAGTTAAATTATTACAAACCTACTACGAAGCAAATCAAATCATATTTAAACCAATAAGTACTAATGTTTTGATTGAGGCCGAAGTATGAGTCACCGAAGCCTACAAATTTTATCAACAGCACCTACAACGATAGAGAACGTGTGTGCTCATCGGCGCCTTTTAATTCAGCTAACTAACGCGTACACAGGCAGCGCCCTTCGCGTGGCCTTGCATACCGCAGCTGAAAATGAAAGCAAAATTTGAGCGGTACATTTTAAGTACGATGTGTTGACCACATACAGTGTGTACACCACATATTGCAATTTTAGCGAATCGACGCCGCCTTCGCTGCGCTCGGCAGCCAGTAGAACGCGCGTATTAGCGTGAGGATTATTAACCCTAGCCCGTTACGGACGGACTGACGGACGGACAGACACCAGACTCCACTAGGGGGGTAAGATGCACAATTTGCACACGCTTAATGTATAAAAACTTCTTCACGAACGCTTACTGCTGGCGTGTGTGTTAAAAAGATGTGCATGCCCTTTTTAAACAGATGCGATTACGAGACTTTCGCAATCTGATTGGTCTACTATTTTTTACTTAATACTCTTGCGTGTGTCTGCCTTCCTACATGTAATCTTAAGCTTAAAAGTGTACCTGTTTAGGTCTGTAGCTCCGTGTCAACTGCGATTGAAATTTAGAGCTTGTTGTTGCATGTCCAATAAAGTTTGACTGTCGGCCTGCAATCAGTGTGGCTCTTTTCTATTTTTTTCTTAAATTACTTAGCTAGGGCTCTGAGTAATTATCAGACCGTGGTTTTGGTTCGGTTCTTTTTTGGCGTGGGTCTATGGTACATGTAGTGACTCAAAAGCTTAATCGACCTCTTAATTCCGAAGCTTTACCGGTACTCGCTTATCGTGATGGCGAGCAAATGTTATAATACACGCTAAACCATTCATGAAACATTGGTCGTTCTTGCATCTCGAATGTAAACTTACGATCCTCTAAATTGGGTCAGCGCTAATCGTGTGCGGTCGCCCGGTATTCGCTTGCAGCTGCCAAACTATCTGTTGCTTTACGTTGGAATTCTTGTGCACAAAGTTGCGTGCGATATGGGCCGTGCAGTATTTGACGTTAAATCAGCGTAAAACCGAGACGGATAGCATTGCTTTACTTCTGTCGCAAAGAAGAAATGCCCGCTCTTTTTTTCAATTTTTTTTTGCCCAAATATACGCTGTTTCTTCCACTGGGTAACTCCCCACCCAAAGCAAAATTTATTTTTAACCAATCCGGGGGCAATCTGGGGGGAAAACCGCCCAAAAGTGCCGCCCCCGCAGTTCAGACGGATGGAAGCTTCTAGAAGCTTCCACAGCCGTCCTACATCTGCCTGTTTATTAATTACAATACTATACATTCCATAGTACTACTAACAACCCATTGCAATAAGATAATAATATCACCTAATCGGGTACACTCATACTCCCTCTGGCAACCGCCGCCTCTTCACCGCCTTCATTCTCGAGCACAGCGGACGGCGAATCCCTACGACCCGGCGCCATGGGATTACTCGGTTCCAGTCAATATTGAGCAGCTGCACGACGTTCGCGGTGAATCTCCGCATCGCTGCTTCCTGGTGGAATGGCAGATTACCCCGCTTCAGTTGAGCTGGGTATGGGAAGAGCAACTCGACCAACGCTTCGCTCGGCGCATGGATCAAGTGATGCAATGGCGTGACGACCTGAGTCCAGGTGCTTTCGCCTATTATTACAAGAAGCATTTTGCGCGCCGTGACCAGGCTTCTCCTGCTGGAGGATGCTTCATCGACGTGTTCCGCGCGGCGCTTTATCACCTTGGTGATACTGGCCTTGCATCCACGGCCACTGAGCTATGGGTGGACTTAGTGCGTGATCACCCAAGCACTGTCGAAGAAGTTTCTCGTGCGGAAGCTACGGAATTCTTTCACGTTCTTCAGCGCAACGATTTTCCGTTGGATTACGATATTCTCTTCCAGAGTCCACTTGATGCTTCGTACACGAATGTGGAACGGTTCCAGACGTTTGTCCAAACACTGCGTGAAGGAGTGTACCTCACGAGTATTGGTGATGGTCTCGTCGGACACAGCGTTGTTGTTCTCGCGAAGGGTCCAGACACTGCTGTTTCCGTACTGGATGGCGTTGAACTGCCGGTGACCCCGGAACCTTTGACCAACTTGGCGTATCTCGGCAAGGTCAAATGGATGGGATTGATGGAACTGAATCCAGGGTATCGTTGCCGCCGCGGGAAACGAAAGTCCAGGCCAAATCGAAAGAAAGCTCGCCGCGAGAAGAAGCAGCAGAAGTTGTAGGGAATGTAATGTGGGAATACATGTAGGCTCTCGAGCCCCCTTTACTCCTGTCTTTGTCGTTCATCTTCTTCGCCGTTTCCTTCTCCTAGATGATTCGAAGTCTCGAATGAGATCCGGAGCCTGTGAGAGATTCTCGACCGGCTCTCAAGTGGGTTTCTCCTCACCCACCCACTCCACAAGAAATTGGGCTCGTTGCTTGTGAGTTCGTTTACCGAGAAGCCTTTGGATGAGTTGTCCAACTGTACCATCGGCTAGAACGACATCATGGGGCCTTGACATCCGAGTGGCGTTCTTGTAAGGCTTCAAAGATCCGGTGTTGAAGACTGGATTAAGTTTGTTTCCGGCTTGGATACTGAGCTCGTACGCGTGATTATGGATCCTCCTTACCACCGTATAGGGACCTATCCACTTCGGACCAAGCTTGCTTGAGTTGGGTAACCCTGTATGTCTCCGATCTAAGTGTTTCGTACTCAAGTACACTCGGTCGCCAGCTTCGAAGACTTGCTC